GGGCCACACAGCCCAGAGCTGTGGATGCAGAAAGCGATGTGTCCGGGGCCGCATTCAGGCTCAGCGGCAGAAAGCCCAGCGCATGGGTGGGTGGCGATGACACTCAAGGGGCTGGGGAGCACCTGTGATGCACACCTGGTGCGGACCCCTCCAGCTTGGGTGGTCTGCTAATGGGCTGTTCCCCCTGCAGCCCAGTCCCACAGGCCCAGCAAGCCAGGGCAACCCAGCAGCATTCGATGTGCACACCAGCCGCTGGGCAAGGCCAGCCGTGGCCCTTGCCTCTAGAATGACACCCTGGGCCTGCCGGCCGGGCTGCCCGGGCTCCCGCCTGTTTTCCATCCCCCTCTTCTGTGTCCCCGAACCTGGCCTGGGGCCCTCTCCTCTCTCTTCCCCTCCCTCTCCTCTCTCCCCATTCAGCTCCTGTCCTTGTTCCCCAATTCCAGATCCCCACCCTGGCACCTCCCCACCTGACTCTGTGCTCCAGCCCCCCCTGTGCTCCACCCCCCCGCGTGTTCTGGCCCCGGGTTCCCCACTCTTCTGGGAGCCTCCACTCATGAGCCTGTGCCCCCCCAGCCGGCGAGCTGCCGCCCAGCTCACATGTCTGCCTGACCATGAGCTGTGAGGGTCAGCTCCCTGTCCCCACAGCAGCCTGCAGCATGCAGGGTGGGCGAGACGGGCTCTGTCCTCCAGGAATCGGGGACCTATGCTCTGAGCACCACCTGCTGTTTGTGAGCACAGAGCCAGGGTCACGGCTGCTCCCCGCCTGGCACAGAGGCCCAAGCAATTAGAAATGCCCGCGCTGTCTCCCTCCATGTTTCTCTTGCCCCTTTTGAAAGCCAGGCAGTAAAGATAAGAACATTCGGGGCCAGACAGCGGTGCGGCAGCAGGCAACGTGCTGAGGCTGCACGCTCGGGAAGGCTCTGGGCTCATACCTGGAGGCCTCCCTGGGGACGTCGGGGGGCAGTGCCATGGTCAGGCTGGCGGTGCCGGTGCGCTGTGGCATCGAGGCCCTATCGGGGGTGCCTCCACTCCTCCCCTCCCCTTGTTTCTCTTGCTCATGGAAGAAATAAATAAACATTTATCAGGACACTCCGAGCCGCTTTGTGTGAAGGGAAGTAGCAAAGTCCTCAGCGGTGTCTGGAGAAAGGCTGGGCGAGCCCTGAGACCCGGCCCGGTCGCCAACGCAGACGGTCTGCAACCCCACAAGCAGACAGATAGTGAAGCCAGACCCCGGAGAAGGCCGTCCTACTGCCCGAGCTACCACGCAATTAGATGCCAAAGTCCAGTTTTCAGCAAAAATCCCAAGGCATGCAAAAGAGCAGGAAAATATGGCCCATTCGAAGCAAAACCAAAATCGACAGAGACTATCCACAAAAAGACCTAAGGCAGGGCTGGAGGTAGCACAGGGGCTGCAGTGCTGAACTCTACGGCTGACCACGGTCTGAGTCCCAGCCCAGGCAGTTTGCTTCTCATTGTCCCTCTCGCTCTCTCTCTGTCTCTGACTCTCTCTGTTGAACTGAAAAAAAATAAAATAAAATAAATTAAATAAATAATTCTTTTTAAAAAATCTAGTGGCAGATCTATAAGGCAAAGACTTTAAAGCACTAACTTAGAGGTGTTCTCAGAGCTGACAGGAAACAGAGAGAAAATAAAACACTATGTGTGAGCATAATAGAATGTCAATAAACAGATCTAAAATACTAAGAAAACAGAGAGGAATTTTATGCCTGTAAGAGATTAACTTTAAATCCAAATAAATAAATACATTGAAAATAAAACAATGTAAGAACTGGAAAAAAATTCACTAGATGTATTCAAAGTAAGTGTAGAAGAATAAAGAACCAATGGTCTTGAAGATTAAACTATGGGAATTCCGGGTCCGAGGAACAGAGAGAAAAGATTGAAGAGAAGGGAGTAGAGCCTAAGCTACACATGGAATGTCATCAAATGGGCCACTTCGCAGGGGCTTCAGAAAGTTCATGGAAAAGTAGAATTAAAGTA